TTAAAAATTAAATAAATAGTATTAGAAAACGACCCCCTTTTAATTTGAGAAGCACTGGCATTATGAAGTATCAAAACAGAACCTAAGCCTGGACAGCCTCTCTCCCTCCCCTTCCCCCGCTTCTGGTTTTTTGAGACAGGGTTTCTCTGTGGCTTTGGAGCCTGTCCTGGAACTACTAGCTCTTGTAGAACAGGCCGGCCTTGAATTCACAGAGATCAGCTGGCCTCTGCCTTCCTAGGGCTGGGATTAAAGGCATGCTCCACCACCGCCTGGTGGCATTTCATCCATTAAAAAAATAGAAAATTACTGAATATTTGACACTAAGTAAATTACTTATAAAATATAATTGGTGAAAATAAATTGGGCCGAGAATAGTGCTTCATGTCTGTAAAGCCAGCACTCAGGAAACAGAGGCAGGAGGATCACCATGGACTGAAGTTAAGCTGGAGTTGCACAGTGAGTGACAGGCCATCCTGCATTATAGAATGTACCCCTGCCTCAAATAAAACAATACCACCAGGCCAAGGAAACATCACATTGATCAATAACAAAACTTCATGGAAAAAAGCTAAGAACCTTTGTTTCACACCACCAGCTTCTAGAACAACACTGGAGGCAGAATGCACACTACAATAGTAACCTTCATGGCTGATGCTGCAGGCAAGCTAAAACTGGACTGTTGAGTACCAATCATGTTCAAAGGTACCTAAAAGACGAAGAGATAGGACATCAAAAGACCAGGAAGAACCAGTCCACACAACAGACCTACATGGACTTAAACAGAACATGCAACAGAGCTGGGGTGGGTCCACTGTGTGTGCTCATTTCAGTGTTGCTGCCTCCTGGACAGAGTGCTCACTCATCTTGTATCTTGCTTGTCTAACACAGCACAGCATGCACCAACACGCCCACACACCAACTATATCAAACAGATATGCAGAGTGGACAGCCTTGTCTTGTTCTTGATTTCAGTGGGATTGTTTTGAGTTTCTCTCCATTTAGTTTGACTCTCCAACGTTGGCTGTTGGCTTGCTGTATGTTGTCTTTATTATGTTTAGGTATGTCCCTTGTATCCCTGCTCTCTCTAAGACCTTTACCATGAAGGGATGCACACACATACCTTTTGAGACAGGGTATCACTTTGTAGGGGCTGGTTGGCCTGGAACATACCCTGTAGACTAGGCTGGCCTCAAACTGAGATCTACGTGCCCCTGCCCCAAGTGCTAGGATTTAAGGCCCACCACACCCGGGCAACTATTCCCATCTTTAGCTAATCAAAATACCAACAAGTTATTCTATCCATCCATTTTTTCCCTTTAACCTTCAAAAGACTGTGGTCATGTGATCTGCCGCTCATGAGTCGTGTCAGGGTCCCATCCATCCCAACAACACAATTTGGATATAACAAAAAGGAGAAAAGTCAGCAGAGCCAGGTATCATAGTGTATCCTATAATCCTTGTACTCAGGGGACTAAGGCAGGAGGACTGTCCAGAGAATAAGGCCTTCTATTAAAAAATGAAATAAGGTGGGCGGTGGTGGTACACGCCTTTAATTCCAGCACCCAGGAGGCAGAGGTTGGTGGATCTCTGTAAGTCTGAGCCAGCCTGGTCTACAAAGCCAGTTCCTTCATGTAGAAATTATACATATTCACTTAATAACACACCTACTCACCCTGGGTGAATAAAAATGTCAAGCCCAAGTACTAAACTGTTTTTAGTTTATTTATTGGGTGTACCAAAGTGTGCCTGTCAACTTAAAGGAGTCAGTTCTTTTCTTCTACTATAGGGGTCCTGGGGACTGAACTCAGGCCACCAGGCAGGCAGCACCTTTACCACTCAGCTATCTCACTGGCCCCTGAACTATCTTGGATATTTAATCAATAATCTTATACATCAAAAAATGCATGTCAAGAAATGCTTAAGTCAGCCAGGCAGTGGTGATGCACACCTTTATTCCCAGCACTCAGGAGACAGAGGCAGGCAGATCTCTGTGAGTTCCAGGTCAGCCTGGTCTCCAGAGAAACCCTGTCTGGAAAAACCAAAAAGAAAAAAAGAAATGCTTAAGTTGAAGAACTGTTGGTGGGAGACTGACAGGCAGGACTCACAGCAGCTGTCTGTCAGTCATGGTGGTCTCATATAGGTTCTAAATATAGAAAGCAAGCTGATCAGTAACAGAACACCTTCAGGCAGTGGGGGCAACTCTGCTAGCTAGCAGCACCAGTGCAGTCTGGCCTACTCGGCAGCAGGCAGATAGCGCTTATCTCAAGATGAAAGGTCATCTTGACTCCTCCTGACTCCTCCTCAGACAGAATCCCAGCTGCGACCAGCAGACCCTCAGAAGAAAGTTGTTGAGAAGTAACCATTTGCAAGGTCCCAGACTACACATGCTTCTTTTCTTTCTCTGTATGCTCGATATCTCACACAGTGCACAGATATGCACAAGGGCAAAATACTCATACATGTGAAAAAAAAAAAAGAGCCAATTCACTTTTTTAAAAAAGGACATAGCCTTGAAAGAAATGATTAAATAAAAAGCTGGGTGTGGACGTGCATACCTTTAGTCCCAGCATTCAGGAGGCAAAATCAGAGATCTCTTATTTCCAGGCCAGCCAGAGTTACACAGCAAGATCTGCCTGGAAACAACACAAAAACAAAAAAACAAACTCGGGCTCCTCATAGTTACACTAAAAGTACTTTACTCACTGAACTGTCTACCTCCATAGCCCAAAATATGAAATAATTTAAAGTCAGCACACACACTACACAACAATGCCATACTCTTTAATGCAGCCAGCAGCAGACAGCCAAGTTTAACACCAGCATCTTCCACAAGTGCATACCAACCACACATAAAACAAAGATGTAAAAAAGGAAGTGGGGGCCAGGCAGTGGAAGTGCACACCTTTGATCCCAGCACTTGGAAGGCAGAGGCAGATGGATCTCTGAGTTTGAGGCCAGCCTGGTCTACATAGAGTGTTTCAGGACAGCCAGAGCTACAGAGAGAAATCCCGTCTCGAAAAACCAAAAACAATAACCACCACCAAGTGGGTTATTGTATAAAAAGAATCTAATAAAGAATATAGACATGAGAGGTTGATGTTGGACAGGTGGTAAGTTACCATTTATCATCCATTCTAAAAGACATACTTCTACTTGGCTTAGCTAAGACTCAACTGTACTTGAGAACACAGAGAAGCAAGCAAACGCCACAGGAATGGAGGCAACAACTGACACCATGTGCTTGTGTTTGAATGGCCCCAGAGTCAGAAGCCAGAGGAGCAGTTTATATTTATGTCACAGAGATAAAACATGACCCACTGTAGTGAACTCAGGGTTTGCAGGCAGAGTCAACTCCAGCAGCTAACAGCTTGCTTCACTCTGCTGTTACTCTAGAAAAGAAAAGCCCACTTGGTTCTTCTCCCCACCCCCACAGTTACACTCCAGCTCTGACTGCAAAGGTCTGGAACAGATTAAAAGTCGGGTCACAAAATCAAAAGCTCTGGCATGTAGTCAAGCCTGTCTGGAATACACATACACAGTGGGCCCAAGAAGGCAGCAAGGGAGGGAGGGAACTGCAGGAGACACACTGTTGGTGCATGTGGGAGGAGTATGTTTTCTTTTTCCACCTCAAATACCCAAATACCTTAAAAGACCCAGCTGTAGGTACTATCTATCACCAGATAAAACAGGCTAACAGCTAAGTTTCTCTTCTTTACTGCTAATGTTTTTCCCAATTACTTTTCTCTTTCAAAAACATACACATCAAACACCCACCCCCCACCGCCACGAGTTTAAGTCAAGAGGCAGTGGCACAACACGAATCTTCCAAGCTTCCCAAGGGCAGATGAACTCAATCACCAAATATGAATAAGGAAACATGGCTGTTATCATCCAGAGGATACCAATGCAGCATTTAAGGGGTTTTCAACCACACGGGCTATCTATTCAAGCATTAAAAAGAATCTGAGGTTGCAAAGTGCTACCATGTAGATTACTTTCTTAACACCATAACAGGTCTGGAAGCTCCAACAACTCATATTTGAGCCAAATCGGCTGTCAAAATGACTGCCTAGGCTGCCACTCCACCTGACTTTCCTTGGGGTGGGGGTTAACTACTCCAAACACTGCTTTTTATTGTTGCTTGCTTCCAAGCAAACAGATGGGGGGTTGTTTTGAAGGCCCAGGGTTGTGTTTTGATGGCATTCACGGGGTTAATTCTCCTTCCCAGTAAAGCCTGTGGTGTGGCCAGGTCGGCCCCAGGGAAGCTTCCAAGGCTCCACCCATGCGTCTGACCCGAACCACACATTGCTTCCATTAAGTAGCATCTCGGCCAGAATGAGTGCTCAAACCACATTATCTGTTCCCTTTTAGACTCATTTTCCATGCTTTGGAAAGAGATTCAAAAAGCAACAGACAAAATCACTATGAGAAAATAAATACAGACAATAAGGACAAAAAGGTAGTCAAACGGGGCAGGAGACCCTTACCAAAATGTGCACATTGGAAGGAGGGCTCTGTTTTGCCCTTCCTTTCCTAAATAAAAAGCGAAGGAAAGGAAACGTAACATGAAACAAGGTCGGAACATTCCCCAACAGTTGTAAACTGCTTTCCTTAGACTTGACCTGGTGCTCAGGGTGTGACCCCACTTTCAGCCCTGCTGGATAAGCCAAGCACTAGCAGGCCCCTCTCTGGGGGAAGCCCAGGCTACAGGCTGTAGACAAGCCTGACTTGTGGCTTGTTTCCAAGAGCACCATATGAATGAAGCAGTCAGAGAAGATGGCTGGTAGCTTCTATAGTATTCACCACCCAACCCAGGCAAGAATGCAGTTTTGGACCCAGATCTCTCAAATTCAAACAAAAAACACAGGGAAGGGAAAAGCTGGGTGTGCAGCCATTGGTTACCACCAGGCAGTGCAGTTTCACTGAGATGTATTTTCTTAGATCCCCCAGCCGCAGACTATCATCAAAATGACCACAAAGGTTCTGAGGTAACCCTTTACCAAAACGAGGGTCGAGCCTTGGGTCCAGCCAGGACGTAGTCTTGTTCTTATGGTTTATGTAGTACACATCTCCATCCTGCGTCATGGCTTGCTCCCATCCATCAGGAAGAGGTCCTACAACATAGAAAACAGACTGTGGTTGGTTTTGATCTGCTGCACCCTAAGAAGCTGAAGAAGCTGAGCAGTGTTCATTTTAAAAAGAACAAACACAGTTGTATACAAGGCAATGCGGTAAAACAGACTGCAGCACATGTCCAGAGAAAATAAGGCAGGCCACATACCCAACTCTCCTCCATGAAAACTAAACCATTAAATAATGAAGCCAACATCTCCAAGACACAGATGAGTGGTCGGATTAAAAGCACACTTTAGCTGACAAAGCCATACTCCACTTAGACCTATTATTTGAGCTAACTTACATCAAGAAATACAGAGTTACAGTCCAAAAATATTAAAAAGTTTGCTGTAAAGCAGAACAGAGGACTGGGGCTGGAATTCTAAGTTTGGTGGACGGGTGGGACAGGGCTAGGAAGCAACAAGATTTCCTATTTTCATGAGAGTAAGGAAGCTCCTGTAAAATAAGTAATGAGAAGAGGCCCAGAATAAAATTATGGAACCACCCAACCATCCACTAGACAGACAGAATTCTCACACCTTTAACCAAGAAGGTGGTTCAACCCTAAGATACTTCTGAAAAATATACAAGATGCTTAAAAGTTCAAAGGCAGGCAGGTGTGGCGGTGCTCACCTTTAATCCCTTCACTCAGGAGG